CTCCTCCCACCATGTTATGATGTTGCCCAAGTTTTGGGCTCAATCCGATTTTGATTGGTCTAAGAAATTGGACAATTTAGATTCGGACGAAGTTCGTACTGTAAGTGGAGTGGTTGGTGCATTGCATACTTCTAGCAGTTGGATTTCATTCAAAACTCACCAAATGGGTAGCAGTTGGATTTCATTCAAAACTCACCAAATGGGTCTTCTGACAATATTATGTTGTTGCCCATGTTTTGGGCTTAATTCGATATCGATTGGTCCAAGAAATTTGACAATTCAAGTTTGTACGAAGTTCGTTCTAAAAGGGAGTGGTAGGTCTATTGCACAGTTTTAAAGATTGCATTTCACTGAGAGCTCCCAAATGTCTCCTCCCACCATATTATGCTATTCCACAGGTTTTGGGCTCAATCCGATATCAACTGGTCCAAGAAATTGGACAACTCATGTTCATACGAAGTTCGTGCTGTAAATAGAGTTGTTGGTCTATTGAGTAGTTTTAGCAATTGGATTTCACTCAAAACTCACCAAATGGCTACTCCCACCATATTATGATGTTCCCCATGTTTCGGGCTCAGTCCAATATTGATTGGTCCAAGAAATTGGACAATGCAGGTTCGTACGATTGTTGTTCTGTAATGGAGTGGCTGGCGTATTGCTTGTTTTGGGGTCAATCCGATATCGATTGGTCCAAGAAATTGGACAATTCGTGTTCGTACGAAGTTTGTTATGTAATGGAGTGGTTGGTGTATTGCGTTGTTTTAGCAATCGGATTTCGCTCAAAACTTACCAAATGTCTCCTCCCTCCATATTTTGATGTTCCCCAAGTTTTGGACTCAATCCGATATCGATTGGTCCAAGAAATTGTACAATTTAGATTTGTACGATTTTTCTTCTGTAATGGTGTGGTTGGCATATTGCATAGTTTGAGTGATTGGATTTCAGTCAAAAGTCACCGAATGACTCCTCCCACCACATTATGATGTTTCCCAAGTTTTGGGCTCAATCCAATATCGATTGGTCTAAGAAATTAGGCAATTCATGTTTGTATGAAGTTTGTTCTAAAATGGAGTGGTTGGTGTGTAGCATAGTTTTAGCAATTGGATTTCACTCAAAACTCGCCAAATGAATGCTCCGAACATATTATGCTGTTCCCCAAGTTTCGGGCTCAATTTGATATTGATTGGTCCAAGAAATTGGACAATTCAGGATCGTACGAAGTTCGTTATGTAATGGAGTAGTTGGTGTATTGCATCGTTTTATGGATTGGATTTCACTCAAAACTCCCCAAATCACTTCTCCACCATATTATGGCGTAGCCCTGGTTTTGGGCCCAATCCGATATCAATTGGTCCAAGAAATTGGACAATTCAAGTTCGTACGAATTTTGTTCTCTAATGAAGTGGTTGGCATATTGCATAGTTTGAGCAATTGGATTTCTCTCAAAAGACACCAAATGACTTCTCCCGCCATATTATGATGTTTCCCAAGTTTTGGGATGAATCCGATGTCGATTGGCCCAAGAAATTGGACAATTTAGGTTCGTACGAAGTTCGTTCTAAATGACTCCCCAAATTCACCAAATGACTCCCCCCACCATATTTTTACGTTGCCCATGTTTTTCGGCTCAATCCGATATCGATTGGTCAAGAAATTGGACAATTTAGGTTCGCACGAAATTCTTTCTGTAATAGAGTCGTTGGTGTACTGAAAAGTTTTAGCGATTTTATTTCTCTCAAAACTCACCAAATGACTCCTCCCACCATATTCTGATGTAGATAAAGTTTTGGGCTCAATCCGATATTGATTGGTCCAATAAATCGGACAATTCAGGTTCGACCGAAATTCGTTCTGTCATGGAGTGGTTGGTGTAGTGCACAGTTTTAGTGATTGGATTTCACTCAAAACTCACCAAATGACCCCTCCCACAATATCATGACGTTGCCCAACTTTTCGTTCCAGTCCGATATCGATTAGTCTAAGAAATTGGACAATTTAGTTTCGTACGAAGTACATTTTGAAATGGAGTGGTTGGTGTATTGCATTGTTTTAGCAATTGGATTTCACTCAAAACTCACCAAATGTCTCCTCCCACCATATTATGATGTTGCCCAAGTTTTGGGTTCAATCAAATATCGATTAGCCCCAGAAATTGGACAATTCAGGTTCATACGAAATTCGTTCTGTAATGGAGTGGATGGTGTACTGCATAGTTTTAGCGATTGGATTTCTCCCAGAACTAACCAAATGAGTCCTCCCACCATATTATGATGTTGCCCAAGTTTTGGGCTCAATCAAAACTCACCAATGACTCCTCCCACCATGTTATGACACTGCCCAAGTTTTGGGCTGAATACGATATCGATTGGTCCAAGAAATTGGACAATTTAGGCTCGTACGATTTTTGTTCTGTAATGGAGTAGTTGGCGTATTGTATAGTTTGAGCGATTGGATTTCACTCAAAACTGACCAAATGCCTCCCACCATATTATGATGTTGCCCCAACTTTGGGCTCAATCGGATATTGATTGGTCCAATAAATTGGACAATTTTGGTTCGTACGAAATTCGTTATATACTAGAGTGGTTGGTGTACTGTAGAGTTTTAGACATTGGACTTCACTCAAAACTCACCAAATGACTCCTCCCACCATATTATGATGTTGTCCAAGTTTTGGGCTCAATCCGATATCGATTAGCGCAAGAAATTAGAAAATTCAGTTTCGTACAAAGTTCGTTCTGTAATGGAGTGGTTGGGGTGTTGCATAGTTTTAATAATTGGATTTCACTTAAAACACACCAAATGACTCCTCCCACCATATTATGATGTTTCCCAAGTTTTGGGCTCAATCCGATATCGATTGGTCTAAGAAAATGGACAATTCAGTTTCGTACGAAGTTCATTCTAAAATGGAGTGGTTGGAGTATTACGTAGTTTTAGGATTTGAATTTCACTCAAAACTCACCAAATGACTCCTCCCACCATATTATAATGTTCCCCAAGTTTTGGCTTAATCCGATGTCGATTGGTCCAAGAAATTGGACATTTCGTGTTCGCACAAAGTTCGTTATGTAATGGAGTGGCTAGTGTATTGCAGAGTTTTTATTCACCCGTTTTGGTTTTGCTCCTGTGATGGAAGGGTAAAGTTCCCCACTGCCTTGAAAACCATTGACTGGTCAACAAGTCAACTTTCTTTTAATGTGCAAGCGTGCCACTGCTAGCAATAAAAATCCTTGCAAACTTCTTAAAAATAGATAACTTGCGCCCCAAGTTATTGATTTCTAAACAAGCGATTGTGAATTTGGGTGAGGAATATCTCCCAAGTAAGTTCTTTTCATGCCTCGGACTGGTGAGGACTTTATAATTTTTCACAGTACAATGTTGGTCGTTCTGGCTAGAATAGATAGTAAGAAAATGAAATGTTTTCAGGCGGAACTGGCTTTTACAAAATTCTACAGTAAAAAATCAACTATAGAAAGACAAAAAGAGGGCTAGAATTCCATTTCTGCCTAGACAAAAGCTTTTGATCTAGGCTGGACTGGGTATGCCTGTGCTGGATTAGACTTTTCTCAACTTCAACTGCTGAGTTTCAACTGTAAATCGATACCAAAGTTTGAGTTTGGCAAAATTGCGGCCTCTTCTTGTTTTGGATTTTGTTGAACCAAATTTGTAACGAGAGAAATCTCATTTTGAATGAGTTATTTCTCTTAAGTCTGAATTGGAAGTTCTGATATATAGCTGGCTTCTTCTATGGCTCAAATGAGTTTTGGTTGCTTCAATTTGTTTGAAGTTTCTCAGAGATCAAGTGATCATTTTGAGTTGTCTTTGGTTTATTTTTTTGTTTGTTTTTATTGATTGTCCTCTTCTCTGTTCACCTTCTCTTACATTTATAGGAATGCTAGAATAGAATTTCTAATCCTTTAAAAATGGGCGGCAAATTTTCTAAAAAGCAAGATCTTCCATTTTTTAATGCAAATAAAAAGGGATTTTATCAATTTTGGCGGATAAGCTTTCAACAGTCAGTTCCTATGGCAATCACTTCCCTGTATTCTTTGAAAAGAAACCTAACCCTTCTTCTAATTTAATTGCCCCCTGTAAGAGCTGAAATTGTGATGGTTAGTTTTGATTTGACTATTTGAACAACTCTCTGCTTCCCACTTATCTCTGTGAGATTGTAGTTTGCTTATCTCTATGAAGGATCATCTGTTCTGATGCAGAATTGTATAAAAAGGGATTATCATCTTTTAGCCCCAGACTTTCAGAGTAGTCTTTTGCTAATGACCTGCTTTCATTTAATTCCCAATAAACTCTTTTTGTGATAGTTGAAATTGTTGACTTTTCTAAGTCAAGTAGTCATGTGGGTCCTGAGAATAGGCTTTCAAAAAAGATCTTGCTGACTTTGCACTCTGTGTTTTGAGATCAGTGGTGAGCCAAAAGCGGGGCCCCATCCAATTTTCTTTTAATCTTTTATTGATATGCTTCAGTGGTTGTTTGCCTTTTAATCTTGATGTTTTTTTTTATAACTCTGCCATTTTTTTAAAAGTCATGGGCCTTCTGATTGTTCTTGGGCTTTCTCTATTTTTGAATCAAAGCCTAGTCCTTCGTCATTTTCTGTTTTGTGGGCTGGCGTGCGAATCCGTTTTAGGCCGAAACATTGCCCCCTTAAGTCTGAATCGTTTTAAAACAATTTTAGACTTAATGATTGGCCAATAAATGATGCGTGCCATTTCCTGCCGTTGCACTAGCGCATGTCTATCTATTCAATTAGGCTTCATGGGGAAATGGGTTCTAACGGCTAATTAAATATGAACAAAACTCCTTCCCTTCCACTCTTCCACAATCTTCCTGTTTCGTTTATAAAGATTTGCCGAATCTTCATTACTATTTATCAAAAAACCTAGTTCTGTCTCAACTTCCATTTCTTTCGAAACCTTCTGTTCTTTTGGTTATGTTTCTTTCAATCCCCCTCTATTCGTCGGATTTCTAGAGAGAGAGAAAAAATGTCTTCTCCAAACACTCGTGCCAAGGGTTCCTCTTCTTCACGCTCTCCTGCCTATCTCACTGGAGATGGTGTCGAAAATCATGCGATAGAGGTTCGAAGCAAGCTCTATCCCTTCGTGCAAAAGAATTTGGATGAGAATGTACTTCATCTTTTCAAGAATACCCTGGTTCTGGGCCCCCATTGGTTTGGTGCTGTACCGAAGGAGATGGCCATCTTGTTTAGGGATGATGTTGAGGCCCCTCTGTGCTATCAAAGCTCCACTTCTCTGGCCTCTCATACCTAGGTTAGCAAAAACCTGAGTTGCTCGTTTCCTTCAAGCGATGTGAGGAATAGTGCGGTGAAATGGTTAGACTGGATTAACAGGCTTCTTCCTAGGCACAGAGCTTACTGGAAGAGGGCTGGTATCTACGATGAGAACCTTCTGGCTGCCGCTCTGTGTTTCTGGAACTCTGCCAGCAATACTTTTGACTTCTGCCTGGGCCCGATGACTCCAACTCTGCTGGACATGGCTCAGATATTTGGGTTTAGGCCTCATGGCTTGGTGACTATCACATAAGGAAAAATCAGGAGAAATTGGCCAAGTCCTTCATCATCTCTCCTACCACCATCAACCATAATTGCTCGTTTTCCAATTATCTGAAGAAATTCAGCATTGAGAAAGATAGAGATCATCAACACATGTTGTTCCTCCTCTATTGGCTGAACAGATTCATCTTTCCCAACTGTTCCTCTGTAGTTCTACTTGAGCACAGACATCTAGCAGAGGCTCTGCCCAATCACACTGACGTGGGGCTTGGGCCTACGGTTCTGGCTCATTTATACAAGAACTTGCACACTGCCACTTTGGAGAATCCGGTGAATCTGTTCGCCCCTGGCGCATTTTGGATGATTCAAGTTTGGTTGCAAGTGTACTTCCCAAAACTAAGGTTTCCAGACATTGTTCTCCCTGAAGACTAGGTCATGGCTCATTCGTTGATGTCAGCAGAGGTGCCCAAGTGTTCCATTGAGGAATACTTGATGTTCTATAGACATTGTACCAAGAGATCTACTGTATAGTGGCAGGCAGTGCTCAAGAAGACTCTTTGAAAAAGAGCTAGAAGAAGAAGAGGAAAGAATTGAATTTAGGAAGAAATTTCTGAGTGTGATGCTGCCTCGGGACATGCCATTTGGTGGAGGCAAACCTCCCAACTATCATCTGGGGGCAGAAGTCTATCATCCCAATTTCTGTGCTCAGCAACTTGGCTGTCCTCAGCTAATTCCTCACAAGTCATACAGGAGCTACAATCGTGCTACCTCTTGGAGGGATTCAGATGATTTGGACGTACATAAGGACTGCAAATGTTCGGTAAATAAAATAAACAACAGTGTGGATGTTCTCTACCCCTCGTGGGAGCCTAATTCCTACAGTTCTGCTGATTTTGACGCCTGGTGGAAGGCTAGGTTCCAAGGTTTTTCTGCCTTGAGCACTGCCCTCAAGGTGCTTTTTGATGGCTGGGACTCCTGGGCAATCTATGCAGGGGCAGAGGCCAAGAGCTTTATGGTGTAGATGGTTAAGGATATTAATGCACAAATTATTGAAGGTATATTCTCCATTCAACCTATTTCCTTTGTTTTGGTCGCATTGGTTCAATTCTGCCTATTTTTGTGATGTCTAACAACCTGTTTTGCTTATATCAGATCCTTCTGTGACTCGGGACATTGGAAGCCAGACTGAGCATTCTGGAGAAGTGATTGGTGAGTTTCCTGAATTCTGTCCTTCTAATTTCCTTGCTAGACTGCCTTCTAATTTCTTCTTTTTTGTGTAGTTAAATCTGTCATAACTTCTGGGGATCTAGAGCTTCCCTTTGGAGATGAGGAAGATCAGCACGAGTCCCTGGTAGAGCAACCAGCTGTTGAGGCCACTCCTTCTACTAGAAGAAAAAGAAAAGAGGTTGCTCTTGTTCAAGGCAGTACTATCCAGCCTGAACCTTCTGGTAAGATCTTGACATTTTGCCCTACTATTTGAATCTGTCCTATTCTATCTATTCTTCTAACCTTTATTTTCTGTTTTGTGCAGTTGAAAGCTCTCCTCCACCTGCTACTAGGTCAAAAAGGCCTAGAAAGAGGACTAGAGTTGAGTTTGACGAGATCGAAGAGCCTGCAGCTGTTCCCACCGAAACTTCTGGAACTGATGATGAGCTGCGAGGGGCTTTTGAAGCTATTGAGCAGGAGAAAGGACAAGAAGAAGAAGAAGATGTCCCTCTAAAAGAGAAGGACAAAGAGCCTGAAGAAGAGGTGAGACTCCATTACTTGCTGTATGAATTTTTGTGTTGGTTCTTTCTTCTAACATCTGACTTCTGTCCATCTATAGGAGATCCCTGCTGAGATAATAGCAGAAAGCATTGCCTTGGCCAAACAATAAGAACAAGCGCAGAGGGCAGAACCCACAAGTTCATAATTGGCTTTATTTGATGACGTGGAGGTAGAACATTCTATTGCTGTCCCAAAGCTTGAGGTAGAGGCAGAACACTTTGTTGTAGTTCCTGTTCCTGAGGTAACTTCTAGTTTTGCTATCTTCTCTTCTTTGTTCTGTTCATCTTGACATTTTCTAATTTGGTACTATCTTTTCAGGTAGCAGAGAACAAGACTACTGGGATCCTAGCTGTGGTGACCAGTCCTTCAAGCCTCCCATTGTGGCTGTGAGTATTTTTGTGCTTAGTCTTCCTTTCTAATCCTATTCTGACTTTGCCTAAAAACTGACTTGAGTTTGTTTTGCAGATGCCCATCCATTCTCTCTCAGGTTCATCTACCATGGCTTCCTTTGCTGATCCAGAATTGGCAGAGTTTGAAGCTATGGACTGGGTTGCCCAGTTGGACAAACTGGAGAAGCTTAGCTCCACTCATGGCAAGGCAAAATCCAAGGCAGTGGATGAGGCAGTGGATAGGGTAAAGATCTGGCAATCCACTAAACTAGATTTGGATGAAAACCAATAAGCTGTTGACCAAGTGATGAAAGACCTGGACCTGTTGCATAGAGAGAACATGGCTCCTAGGCCCATTCTTGAAATCAGCTTGGGCATGGCAAGAGACGTGCTCAATCTCCACAACCGCTATGAAGATCTTAAACCCTCCTTTAAAGCCTCTGAGTTTTGCAAGGCCACTCATGAAGCTAATTTGGTTGACTACCAGAAACAGAGAGCAGAATTGGACCAGATGGTTGCAGGTTTACAAGTAAGCCAGCAGGTTTACAAGTAAGCCAAGACTGCTACTGACAAGCTAGAGAAGCAGATTGAAGAACTCCAAAAAACAACTGGCTGGGCTGAGGGAAAGGCAGAACAAACTTGGGGCTGGACTAGGCACCAAGACCAAGACCACTTTCCTTGTGCAGAACATGGTAGCTACCTCTAGGCCAGCATTGGAGAGTTCACAGGCCTCTCTCCATCAAGGGATGCTTCTCCAGCAAGAAATCTATACCAAGAAGACCGGATTGCAAGAAACTTTAAAGAAACTAGGACTTTGAATTTAAATTCTGAAAATGTAATAAACTTAGTCATGGAAAATGAAAGCAGAAAAAATTCTGAACAAGCAAAGATTAACCTTTAAAGAAACTATTTCATAAAATTAATCTTTTGTGGAACTCTTTTTTATTCGCAATTTCTCTTTTCAAAGTAAAAGAAAGCAGAAAAAAAAACTACTTAACAAATTACAATACAAAACAAATTCTGAACAGAAATTTAGATAACAGTTTCATTTTCTTCCCTCTCTATTCCAGGATCTGTTTGTACAGCCTGTGCCACATGGTTGGGTAGAATTTCTTCAACCATTTGCCATTGATTGGTGCAACATGAACATCTCCATCTCGATCCTGTAATCTGTATGCCCCCATTCCAAGGATTTGCTTAATTATGAAAGGACCTTCTTATGTAGGTGACCACTTTCCATAACCAGCTATGTGTGTTCCAAGGGGCAGAACTGCTTTCCAGACTATTTCTCCCTCTTCAAAACTTTTGTTTTTAACTCTTTCGCTGCAGGCCCTTGACATAGCCTGTTTTCCTGCTAAGAGTTTGTTGAGGGTGTCAATTCTACTTGTATCCAATCCTTCTAGTTCTAGCAGCATGGCTTGAGAGTAGTCTTCTTCAGTCAGGTTGTTCTGGTGAGCAATTATGAGAGATTGGACTGCTATTTCCATCGGCAAAATTGCATCATGATCATAAGTTAGAGCATATGGGGTCATGTCAGTTGCCTCTCTCTTTGAAGTCCTATATGCCCATAGGGTTTCTGATAATTTATCATGCCACTGCGTTGGATTTTTCTCAAGCATTTTTCTGATAATGTTGATGATCACCTTGTTACTAGATTCTGCCTATCCATTAGCTTGAGCATAGTAATGGGTGGATTGAAGTAGATTAAATTTGAATGCTTCTGCCATATCTAGCATTTCTCCAGATATGAAAGAAGAGACCCTATCTGTTGTGATTGATTCTGGAATGCCAAACCTTTGTATAATCTGTTCTTCTATGAAGGTGATGATCTCTTGAGATGTAGTGGCTACAATGATAAAACAATGCTGCTTGCTACTGGCTGGATAAATCTTGCCAATGAGATCCATTGCCCATCCTTTGAATGGCCATGGCTTTACTACTGGATCCATGGGAATTGAAAGAGCCTATTGGATTGGGCCATGCCTTTGACAAGCCTCACATCCCTTGGAATACTCAATGAAATCTTTCATCATGGTTGGCCAGAAGTAGCCATACCTTCTAATTAACCATCACATTTTTTTTCCTCCTTGATGAGCTCCATAGATTCCTTCATGGGTTTCTCCCATGACCTTCATCCATTCTTTCTTCCCCAAGCACCTTAGAAGTACCTCATCTTTGCTTTTTCGGACCAAATCTCCATTCCACATAAGGTAGTTCAAAGCCATGATTCTGACTCTCTTCTTAGAAGGTAAGGTTGGATACTGCAAGTAATTTATGATGGGACTTCTCCAATCATCTTCAGTGATTATGGCATAATTGACATCTATCTCCATTCCTTTGGTTAGAACGGATGGTAGACTTTTCTTTCCTACCTTGATGATCCTTTGTACACAGTCCTCAGGCATTTGTATTCTTGTTGCTACCTGAGCCAATTCATTGGCTGCAAAGTTTCCTTCTCTTGGGATGTGTTCCCAACTAGCTTCTCTGAATTCTGTTAGAAGGTTTCTGGCTGCCACTAGATAGACGGCTAAAGAAGGACTTAGACACTAGTATTCTCCAGCAATCTATTTTAACACAAACATAGAATCTCCCAGAATTTCCATAGATTGGATTCCTAATTCCACCAGCATTTCTAGGCCAATGATTAAAGCCTCATATTCAGCCTTGTTGTTGGTGCACTGAAAATCTAGCTGGAAAGAATAACAGTGTCTGATCCTTAGTGGCTCTTCTAAAACAATCCCTACCCCATAAGCTATATCAGTCTTTGATCCATCAAAGTATAGTTTCCAAGGTGTGCCTGGACAGAAGCTTCTGATCTGGGCTGGACTGGGTATGCCTGTGCTGGATTGGACTGTTCCCAACTTCAACTGCTGAGTTTCAGCTATAAATCGATACCAAAGTTTGAGTGTGGCAGAGCTTTAATCTATTTCGAGCCCTGGGAGGCTTTTTGAATGGGCAGAATTTCGGCCTCTTCAATCTGAAAGGGGCAAAAGTGGCTAGACTTGCGGATTACTGAACTGGAACTACATTGTGGTACCTGTTCTGCTTGATCAGAGCTCTCCAAAAATTTGTTGAGGTTTTCATATTTGTATAAACTCAAACTCTACTTGTTTTGGTTTTTGCTGAACCAAATTTGTAACGAGAGACATCTCGTTTTGAATTGCTTATTTCTCTTAAGTCTAAGTTGGAAGTTCTGATTTATAGCTGGCTTCTTCTGGGGCTCAAATGAGTTTTGGTTGCTTCAATTTGTTTGAAGTTTCCCAGAGATCAAGTGATCATTTTGAGTTTTGCCTTTGGTTGATTTTTGGTTTGTTTTTATTGATTGTCCTCTGCTTTGTTCACCTTCTCTTACATTTATAGGAATGCTAGAATAAAATTTCTAATCCTTTAAAAATGGGCGGCAGATTTTTCTAAAAAGCAATATCTTCCATTTTTTAATGCAAAGAAAAAAGGGTTTTATCAATTCTGGTGGATAAGCTTTCAATAGTCAGTTTCTATGGCAATCACTTCCCTGTATTCTTTGAAAAGAAACCTAACCATTCTTCTAATTTAACTGCCCCCTATAAGAGCTCAAACTGTGATGGTTAGTTTTGATTTGACTACTTGAACAACTCTCTGCTAATGACCTGCTTTCATTTAATTCCCAATCAACTCTTTTGTGATAGTTGAAATTGTTGACTTTTCTAAGTCAAGTAGTCATGTGGGTTCTGAGAATATGCTTTCAAAAAAGATCTTGCTGACTTTGCACTAGGGGTTTTGAGATTAGAGGTGAGCCAAAAGCTGGGCCCCATCCAATTTTCTTTCAATCTTTTATTGATCTGCTTCAGTGGTTGATTGCCTTTGGGCCCAAAGAGTTTTAGCAATTGGATTTCACTCAAAACTAACCAAATGACTACTCCCACCATATTTTGACGTTGCCCAAGTTTTTGCTCAATCCGATACCAATTGGTCTAAAAACTTGGACAATACAGTTTCGCACGAAGTTCGTTCTATAATGGAGTAGTTGGTGTATTGCATAGTTTTAGAGATTGGGTTACACTCAAAACTCACCAAATGACTCCTCCCACCGCATTATGATGCCCCCCAAGTTGTGGGCTTAATCCATATCGATTGGTCTAAGAAATTGGACAATTTAGGTTCGTACAAAGTTCGTTCTAAAATGGAGTGGTTGGTGTATTGCATAGTTTTAGATTGGATTTCACTCAAAACACACCAAATGACTCCTCCCACCATATTATGATGTTCCCCAAGTTTTGGGCTCAATCCGATATCGATTGGTCCAAGAAATTGGACAATTTAGGTTTGTACAATTTTTGTTCTGAAATAGAGTGGTTGGTGTAGCAAAGTTTGAGTGATTGGATTTCCCTCAAAACCACCAAATGACTCCTCCCACCATATTATGATGTTCCCAAGTTTTGGGCTCAATCCGATATCGATTGGTCTAAGAAATTGGACAATTCAGGTTTGTACGAAGTTTGTTCTAAATTGAGTGGTTGGTGTGTTGCATAGTTTTAGCCATTGGATTTCACTTAAAACCCACCAAATGACTCCTCCCACCATATTATGATGTTCCCCAAGTTTTGGACTCAATCCGATATCGATTGGTCTAAGAAAATGGACAATTCAGTTTCGTACGAAGTTCGTCCTGAAATGGAGTGGTTGGTGTATTGCATAGTTTTAGCAATTGGATTTCACTCAAAACCACCAAATGACTCCTCCCCCCATATTATGATGTTCCCCAAGTTTTGGGCTTAATCCTATGCCAATTGGTCCAATAAATTGGACTATTCAGGTTCGTACGAAGTTCGTTCTGTAATGGAGTGGTTGGTGTATTGCAGTGTTTTAGCAATTAAATTTCACTCAAAACCACCAAATAACTACTCCCACCATATTATGTTGCCCAAGTTTTTGGACTCAATCCGATACCGATTGGTCTAAGAACTTGGACAATTCAGTTTCGTACGAAGTTCGTTTTATACATGGAATGGTTTGTGTGTTGCATAGTTTTGGCAATCAGATTTCACTCAAAACTCACCATATGTCTCCTCCCATCATATTTTCATGTTGTCCAAGTTTTGGGCTCAATCCGATATCATTTGGTCCAAGAAATTGCACAATTCAGGTTTGTACGAAGTTAGTTATGTAATGCAGTGGTTGGCGTGTTGCATAGTTTTAACAATTGGATTTCACTGAAAACACACCAAATGAATCCTCCCACCATTTTACGATGTTACCCAAGTTTTGGGCTAAATCCGATATCGATTGGTCTAAGAAAATGAAAAATTCAGTTTCATACGAAGTTCGTTCTAAAATGGAGTGGTTGGTGTATTGCGTAGTTTTAGGAATTAGATTTCACTCAAAACTCACCACATGACTCCTCCCACCGTATTATGATGTTCCCCATGTTTTGTGCTTAATCCGATGCCGATTGATCCAAGAAATTGGATATTTTGTGTTCGTACGAAGTTCGTTCTATAATGGAGTGGTTCGTGTATTGCAGAGTTTTAGAAATTGGATTTCACTCAAACTCACCAATTGACTACTCCCACCATATTATGACGTTGTCCAAGATTTTGGCTCAATCCGATACCGATTGGTCTAAGAACTTGGACAATTCAGTTTCGTACGAAGTTCATTCTATAATGGAGTAGTTGGTGTATTGCATAGTTTTAGATATTGGGTTTCACTCAAAACTCACCAAATGACTCCTCGCACAGTATGATGATATTCCTCAAGTTTAGGGCTTAATCCGATGCCGATTGGTCCAAGAAATTGGACATTTCGCCTTTGTTCGAAGTTCGTTCTGTAAAGGAGTGGTTCGTGTATTGGAGTTTTAGCAATTGGATTTCACTAAAAACTCACGAAATGACTACTCCCACCATATTATGACGTTGCCCAAGTTTTTGGCTAAATCCCATACCGATTGGTCTAAGAACTTGGACAATTCAGTTTCATATGAAGTTCTTTCTATAACCGAGTAGTTGGTGTATTTCGTAGTTTTAGATATTGGGTTTCACTCAAAACTTACCAAATGGCTCCTTCCACCATATTATGATGTTCCCCAAGTTTTTGGCTTAATCCGATGCCGATTGGTCCAAGAAATTGGACATTTCATGTTCGTACGAAGTTCGTTCTGTAATGGAGTGATTGGTGTTTTGCAGAGTTTTATCAATTGGATTTCACTCAAAACTCACCAAATGACTACTCCCACCATATTATGACGTAGCCCAAGTTTTTTGCTCAATCCGATACCGATTGGTCTAAGAACTTGGACAATTCAGTTTCGTATGAAGTTCATTCTATAATTGAGTAGTTGGTGCATTGCATAGTTTTAGAGATTGAATTTCACTCAAAACACCCCAAATGACTCCTGCCACCGTATTATGATGTTGCCCAAGTTTTGGGCTCAATCCGATATCGATTGGTCCAAAAAATTGGATAATTCAGGTTCGTACGAAGTTCGTTCTACAATGGAGTGGTTGGTGTATTGCATACTTGTAGCAATTTGATTTCACCCAAAACTCACGAAATAACTCCACCCATCATATTATGAAGTTGCCCAAATTTTGGGCTCAATACGATTTCGATTCGTCCAAAAAAATGGAGAATTCAGGTTCATACAAAGTTCGATCTGTAATGGAGTGGTCAGTGTGTTGCATAGTTTTATTAATTGGATTTCACTAAAACCCCCCAAATGACTCTTCCCACTGTATTATGATGTTGCCCAAGTTTTGGGCTCAATCCGATATCAATTGGTCCAAGAAATTGGACGATTCAGTTCATACGAAGTTCGTTCTGCAATGGAGTGGTTGGTGTATTGCATAGTTTTTGCAATTGGATTTCACCTAAACCACCAAATGACTCCTCCCACGACATTATGGTGTTGCCCAAGGTTTGGGCTCAATCCGATATCGATTGGTCCAAGAAATTGGACAATTCATGTCCGTACGATTTTCATTCTCTAATGGAGTGATTGGTGAATTTCATAGTTTTAGAGATTTAATTTCACTCAAAACTCACCAAATGACTCCTCCCACCGTATTACGACGTTGCCCAAGTTTTGGGCTCAATCCGATATCGATTGGTCCAATAAATTGGACAATTCAGGTTCATACGAAGTTAATTCTATAACGGTGTGGTAGGTGTGTTACATAGTTTTAGTGATTGGATTTCACTCAAAACTCACCAAATCACTTCTCCCACCGCATTATGGTATTGCCCAAGTTTTGGGCTCAATCCGATATCAATTGGTCCAAGAAATTGGACAATTCAGGTTCATTCAATTTTCGTTCTATAATGGAGTGATTGGTGCATTGCATAGCTTTAGAGATTGGATTTCACTCAAAACTCACCGAATGACTCCCCCCACCATATTATGACGTTGTCCAAGTTTTGGGCTCAATCT